CTTAGCACTTCCAAACCTGCTCACCTTTTGTTTCAGCAGACTTGAGTTTGATCTCTCCCCTTATGGTAATAGTCTTAGAAAAAAGTCTTCCTTGCCTGTTTTAACTGTGTAGCAGTTTTCCTCTGACATCCACCTCCTTCCAAATTCCTTTCGCCTTCCTCTAGCCCTGAGCAACTATTGATCTACTTTTTGTCTCCATAGATTTGCCTCTTCTGAACATTTCATATAAATGGGATTATATAATTTGTGTTTTTTTGTAACTGACTTTTTTCATGTAGAGTGTTTTTGAAGTTCATCATGTATCAGCACTTCAGCACAGGATTCCTTTTTGTTGCCAAATAATATTCCATTGCATGAATGTATCACGTTTTGTTTGTTCATTTATCAGGTGATGGCCATTTGCCTTGTTTCCACTTTTCAGCGCTCATGAATAAGGTTGTCATGAACGTTTGTGCACAAGTTTTTGTGTGGATACGTTTTTACTTCTCTTGGGTATATACCTGGGAGTGGGATTTCTGGGTCATATGGTAAGTCTACATTTAGCTTTTGAGACACTGCCAGACTGTTTTCAGAGCAGCTGCACGGTTTTACATTCCTGCCAGCAGTGGATGAGGGTTCCAGTTTCTCCACATCCTCACCAACACTTGTTATTCCCTGTCTTTTTTATTACAGCCATCCTAGTAATTGCAAAGTGGTTGTTTTCTAATATTTTTATATTTTTTGTAAAGCAAATATTATTCCAAAATAAAACATAAACCCTTACAATGAGACTATAACATTTAAAATAGAAAATTAAATCCCTCAATTATTCTATAAGTGAAATACAATAAAGAATTAGTTCAACTTCCAAGAGCTATACTGCTTCCAATCCCAATGATGGAGGTACTTATTGATGCTTCTTCTGCTGCTATTTGTGTGGGTAAGAACACCCATCTCATATTTGTTCTGGGGATTAGAAACAAAACACATAAGGCATCTAGCATGAGGGTTGGTATTCAGGAAGTACCAATAAATGATTATGTTTATTCAAAAGCAAGGAATTGGTTACAAACAGTTGCTTTGCACACTTGACTAACAACTCTTTTAATTAAAACAATTTTTTTAGAGACAAGGCTTTGCTCTGTCACCCAGGCTGGAGTGCAAGGATGCTATCGTAGCTTACTGCCGCCTAGACTTCCTGGGCTCAATCGATCCTCCCACCTCAGCCTCCTAAGTAGCTGGGATTAAAGGCACTTGCTATTATGCCTGCTTAGCTAATTTATTTTATTTTATTTTATTTTATACATATCTCACTGTGTTGCTTATGTTGGTCTCAAACTCCTGGCCTCAAGCAATCCTCCCTCCTCGGCCTCAGCCTCTCAATGTGTTGGGATTACAGGTGTGAGCCACCAAGGCCAGCCTTTGACTAATTACTCTAATGGCAACATGAGATAGAGAAATGGAAATTAGGTTATATGGTAAAATCTCAGTAAAAAATGTCAATGTGCAAAGTACCACCAAAGGAAATAGGAACAGGATGCAGCTAAAACTCACAAAATGAAAATCCCCCCATGGATAAGGGGGGATACCTGTCAAGACCCCCAGTGGATGCCTAAACTGAGGCTAGTACCAAACCCTATACATACTATGCATAAACTTTTTTCCTTCTTCACAATTTCACACACAGATTTGTTCTTATCATAGACCTTAGCAACCTCAGCCTACAATTTTTTTTTCTTTCGTTATTAAGTGGAGAACTTCCAACGTTTAACTTAAAGAACACATTTTCCGGCTTCTCTTTGGCATATCGAACTTGCCAACATCATTACTCTCGTGCTTTGGGGTCAATAGGAATAGTAAAATAAAAGTGAATTGAATTCAAGCACTGTGATACCACAACAATTGATCTGATAACCAAGACTACTATTAAGTGACCAGGGGCATGCAATGTCTACAGTGTGGAGAAGCTGGACAAAGGGAGGATTCACATGCCGCATGGAATGAAGCTGGATGGCATGAGATGTCATCACGCTACTCAGAACAGCACACAATTTCAACCTCATGAATTATCGACTTCTGGAATTTTCCATTTGATATTTTCAGACCAAGCTTGACTGTGGGCAACTGAAACCACAGAAAGTGAAACCTCGGACAAGGTGGGGACTGTTGTACAAAATTTATATTTAAGGTAACTCAGACTTTGGAAAACTAAATCTACAAGGAACTTCCAGGGTCACTTGAAATCAGAGCTCAGTAGTAATATAGAAATATCTTAAAAAGCTGCTCCCATTGTAATGCAATTGAGAATATTCCATTGAATATTGTTAATATGTTGCTTTTTATCATAATTTGTAATTATTACGAGCTCAACATATGTTACTAAGTCCACAGGAAGTAGCCACGTCTTTTCTGTTCTGGGGCTCCGTGGAAGTTCTTCATTTTGGCTTCTGTAAATAATAAAACGGAGTGTGCCAAGACATCACTCTACCTTCGTTTAGTGAATTTAGTTTTCATTGAGATATAGCCACAAGTTGCCCTGTAACCAAGAAAACAGGACAGTGGCTATTATAAGAAACCTGCTCTTTCAGAAAACTCTAGTAATACACAAAATGCTTAATACATGGTATAGGGGAGCTCTTTTAAAAGACTTTTATTTTGGAAAGTGAATCTATGATATGACAATTAAAATTTGTTTTCAATCTCTTATGTAAAGCTCCAGGAAAGGCTTCTGTATAATTTGTTTCTTGCTTTTTTAAAAATTTGGTCTTTTCACTAGTAACCCTTAAGGGTAGGTGTGATCCCATATGAGACAAGACAATCCAGTGATTTATTCAGTTACAAAACTCTTTAGTAGTGGACACAGAATTCAAATGGTGATGTGCCTGATTCCAAAGCCCATACTTTTCCATCTCACTGTACTCTATTACTTCTCCTTAGTAAAGCTTCCAAGTCACTTTTTGGGGGATATTAAGCTTTTTGGGGTTTGAGCTTCCTTCCAACATATGGAAAAACTTGCCCTAATTGACACCTCAGTATCCTTACTGGAAAACACTCTAAGCAAATTCTCATTTCATTCTCAGTAAACCAGGTGTGTCCTAGGTAGGCAGAAGGCGACTTGGTCCTGTGATGTTCTAACACTAGTTTTCAAATTGTATTAATCCTTAAAACCCTTTGTTCAGATGAAATCTTGCAGGGAAGTCCAACATATAAATAGAATTGCTGTTAGGAGAACACAAGGATGAGGAGCTTATTGAGATAACCCATCAACTGGAGCTACATTGACAGAGCACCTACATTCACTGAACTCATTGATTGAGCTCCATTGACACATGCCTCCTCATCACTGTTCTGCTGCATTCCCATCATCTCATTTAATCCTCTACTCCACCGTTACTATTCCTAATTTAAGAACCAGTAGATTGGTTAAGAAGGTTACTCCATGGGTAATTGAGAAGCCTACCAGTTGCTTAAATACATACAGGTCTAATTTTTCATGGAACTAGAAGTCCAGAGATAGCCAGGCCAAGATTGATGCAATTGCTCGGTGAAATCAGGCTTTTTCTCTTCCTTTTCCATCACCCTTAAAATGAGGCTTTTCTTTTCATGGATACTGGGTATGCAATTAGCAGTGTTTGCTACAACAAGGTAACTACATGATCTGAGAAACATTCAGATCTAGGAGTTCTGTAAAGACCTCGCTTTAGTTCCCTGTCACTAACGTAACTTCCTTGGGCTGCCTGAACTCTGCAGGATCCTTTCATCTGTGTCTGCTTGGTCTTGGAATTCTATTAACTTATCACAAGGGGGCTGTTATCCTTTCTTCTCCCCTGCTCTCTTATTGACCTTTGTTCTGCGTTGCGGTTCACTTTCATGATCCCAGGAATAAGCACACATAAGAAATGGAAAATGATCTGTTTCCATTTCTCTTCAGAAACCAGTATTATTTTAGAACTTTTCATGTACAATAGCTTATTTAAATGTATGCTTCAGAGATTTTGAGACAGATTCTCGCTGTGTCACCCAGGCTGGAGTGCAGTGGTGTGATCTCGGATCACTGCAACCTCCACCTCCTGGGTTCAAGCAATCCTCCCACCTCAGCCTCCCAAGTAGCTGGGATTACAGGCATGTACCACCACACCTGGCTAATTTTTGTATTCTTAATAGAGACAGGGTTTCACCATGTTGGCCAGGCTGGTCTTAAACTCCTGACCTCAGGTGATCTGCCCACCTGGCCTGTCAAAGTGCTGGGATTACAGGCATGAGCCACCGTAAGATGTTTTAACATTTAAACAATGACAATAATAGCAAACAGTTACACAGCACCTACTATGAGCCAAGAGCTGCTATATATGTATTACAATGCTGTTCCAAGAGCATTATGTATATTAATTTGTTTGATCCTCCAGTAGCCCTATTATCCCCATTTTACAGATGAAGAATGGAAGTACAGGGTGATTAAGTGACTTCCTGAAGGGCACATGCCAGTAAGGAGTTGGACAGAAATTAGAATCCAGGCAATCTGACTCCAGACTTTTACCCACTATACTGTTGCCTCTAAGCAATTTAAAAATAAAAATTTTATAGGTTATAACATGTTGAAATATTAATACAAATTATTTTAAATGTAGAGAAATAACTGCTAATCTTTAAATTTTACCAACTGCCTAAATATGTTTATTTAAAATTGCATCAGTGCTGTGATTTCTGACTGAACATGCTAAGGCAAGTTTTTTTATCCTTGTATTTGTAATAAACAGATATGAGATACACATACATGCCTGACATGACAGTGGAGGTGAGTTAATGTTATATCCTTTTAGCAAATAAATTTCTAAGGCTGTAAAACTTTTTCTACTTAAAATATTAATAATGGCAACTTAATGTTTCTTGCTATGTATTAGGTACTGTGTTGGGGTAAAGATGGCATGACTTATCTGCTATTCCTTTTATTTAGAGGTGAGTCTATTTCTTTTCCTACTGAATCCAGGTTGGCCAGTGATTTGATAAATAGAATATGGCAGAAGTATTACGTTGGTGCAAAAGTAACTGCCGGTTTTGCCATTGAAAGTAATGGTAAAACTCGCAATTACTTTTGCACCAACCTAGTAACATTCTAGGATGTCTGAGACTCGGTCACAAGAGCCTTGCAGCTTCTGCAGAGGTGTACTGAAACATTCATTCTTGGGTCCAGCTTCCATGCACTAAGGAAACAGAAGCAGCCTTGAGGAGACTCTTACGAAGAGGATCCCAGGCTCCTGGCTGAGCACCCAGCCAACAGGCAGCACAAACCTGCCAGCCACTCAGGTGAGCTCTTTGGGGAATATATTCTCCAACTCCAGCAGAGGCCAAGAGGAGCAGAATGAGCCAATACCACTGAGCTCTGCCCACAGTGATCTGTGAGAAAACAGAATGATTGTAGTTGCTTTCAGCACAAAGTTTGGGGGTAGTTTTTTATGCAGCAATAGATGGACAGAACAAGTGCTGAGGCCTTTACAAATGTTATCTTTATTCCTCACAATGATCTTATGAAGAAGCTATTATCCTTACCTCAGGATGACAAAGCCGAGGCTCAGTGAGTTGGCATAATAATCCAGGTCTGTCAACTCCAACTTGATAGATATTTCTCCTGATAAATCTTACTTCACTTTATGATCCATCGTATTCACAGCTGTTGAGTCAGGCATGACTAAGGTTAAATCTTAGTTCTGCCCTTATTGGCTATATGCCCTTGGATAAATAGAAGATAAGTTTGTTACTTCACAGGACTGTGATGATTCCAAGGACACATATAAAGAAATTGGCAGGTGATAGGCACTTAATAATGGGCAAATATTATTGCTTTGAAAATTCCTATAACGCAGAAGCAGCTAGTGGTAAAAGGCTCGCAGAATAGCATTTGATGGTGTGAACATGGGATAGACACATTTAGGAGTAGGCATGTGCAGAAATGTCAGAATGGCCTGACTTCTAATAGGAATAAACCTTGTGACATCACATGATGGTAAACCATGTGTGTATACATGGCCTATGTTTACCTGTGTGTATAATATGGGTATATAATAGATTTCTTTGAAGTCTAGAAAATTCCTGACTAAACAGCTATGTCTGTTACTTCCTCATTTTAAGATTCCTTCCAGCTCTAAAATTCTGTGAATTTTACTTAGCCTCCTTTGACTACCTTGAATGTTGATTACCTTAGGAAAAAAATGCAATCACAGCCAGCTGTCAGCTCATGCCAATAACTATATACAATTTGCAATTTGTATGCTATTCCTTAACAAGAGTTCAGGTAGTCAGAGAAAAGGCCTTTCTCTCTAATGCCTGCTTCTACCAATTTTTAAACAGGGACCTTCCTGAGTAAAGCAGGTCCTATCAAGTTGCTGTCATCTTCTCCCTTGGAATTCGGGGAAAAGGTGTGAGGGAAATGGTGGAGCAGGTGAAAGGAGGGCTGTAAACTGCTGTGAACGTTGCTGGATCTGTTGTAGGTGCTCAATTAACACTTAGAAAATTGAATGAACTTGTTCTTCCTTTATCCCATTTAGTCTGTCTTACCCACTTATTTCCAGATTAACAGTGGATGACAGTGGTAAGCAGTAGTAAGAACTAAAACCTCAACAGCTTATCGAAAGACCCCTTCATCCTGTGCTTATATGTTCTTAGTGCTAGTGTATGACATGAGCCAAGAACTGGGCGTCTGGCCCATAGATCCCTTCTGATACAGCTCCTTTTTTTTCCATTCTCTTTCCTACTAATATTGGTGCTCTGACTGACAAGACAAAGGACTGTATCCTGTTGAGAAGACCTAAAATCTGAGTAATCCCTACTAAAATCTGTATCCTGTGAAGAAATAACACACCTTTTAAAAGTGCTCTTGGGACATTTAAAAATTGAAAGACAATAACTGCCCCCCCCAACACATACACTCTTAACATTCTGTTTTTGATGCCATAAAATGAAAAGAATCAGAAAACAAAACTACCACTCACACCAAAAAATTCTCATTATCTAGGAAAAAAAGCAAAGCAAAGAAATCCTCTTTTATATAACTTTTGGATTAAAGAAGGTATCAAAACTGAAACTTAAGAACATTTAGAAAATAACAGTAATGACATTAATGCAGCCAAATGATTCACCTTAAGCAGTGCTCACACTTAAGTCCGTGTCTTAATCTCTTAAGAATTAAGAAGTAAAAATAAGTAAGTTACATGCTAACTAAACGAGTTAGAAAAAATAAAATAAAATAAATAAACCAAGGAAAGCAAAAGGTAGAAAACTTATGAAAGTGGAAATAAACTAATTAGAAAGAAAAAAAATTACAGAATAGAGACATCCAAGCAGTTTGGGGAAAATAAAAAAATACATAATTTAAAAAATAGGTAAACTGTTAGCTACCTTCATCAAGAAAATAAGGGAGGAACTTTGGGAGGCAGAGGCAGGTGGACCACAAGGTCGGGAGAGCCAGACCATCCTGGCTAACATGGTGAAACCCCGTCTCTACTAAAAATACAAAAAAATTAGCCAGGCGTGATGGTGGGCGCCTGTAGTCCCAGCTACACGGGAGACTGAGGCAGGAGAATGGAGTGAACCCGGGAGGCGGAGCTTGCAGTGAGCAAAGATCGTGCCACTATACTCCAACCTGGGCGACAGCGAGACTGTCTCAAAAAAAAAAAATAAAAGAAAATAAGGGAGAAAGCATAATACAAACTAAGGGGCAACATCCACACGCAAACAAGAGGAAGAGTTTCCTCAACTAGGCAAATAAATTTGAAAACTTGGATTAAATGGATGGTTCCTGATCCAGATAGGATTAAAAAAAACTACATGGATTACTTAGATGATACCAACAAAGTTGTCAAAAAGCTGCTTGCCAAACATCCACTAAACCCAGATAATTTCACTGAAAATTTTAAGAAACAGAAAATTCCAATCCTATTTAAACTGTTCTAGGGCATGTAAAAGAAGGGAAGTTTCCAAATCCACAAGCATAAAATACTACTTCTCAAAGTGACCACATGTGTATGCACACACATACAAACTATAGACTACTGATTAATACAAGTGCAAATATCCTAAATAAAATATGAAGTGCAGTCTAGCAACAGATTAAAAAAATACACATGGCCAAAAAGAATTTATTTAAAGAATGTAATGATAGTGCAAAATTACAAAACATATTAGTAAAATTCATCTTAAAGGATCAAAGGAAAAAAATCATGATCATCTCCGCAGATGTTGAAAAGGCATGTGATAAAATTAAACATGCAGTTTTAAAAATAGGGATTAGTTGATACTCCTTAATATGATTAAATCTATCTCAACCCAATTCATTATAGCCAGTTATTGAACATTATTTTAGAAGTACTAGACAATGCAATTAACATACAAAGAGGAATGCAAAATGTAACAATGGTTACATTATCAGTGTTTGCTGATGACAGGACTGTGTAGTTGGAAAACACAAAATAATTAAGTGAAATACTATTACAAACAACAAAAAAATGGAATCAGCTAGCCGGGCAGAAAATTAACATAAATAATTAGCCTTTTTATGTACTAAAATTAGGCAAAATTATTAATAGGATTTCATTAATAAAGGCAATAAAATGTAAAAAATTTAAAAAATAAACTCTTAAAAATGTATGAGATCTCTGTAAAGTGTAAAATTCATCTGAAGGAAACAACAAAAAACGAATGGGCATGATTTTTAGATAGTGCACCATGGTTTAGATAAAAAGCTTTAACTCATATAATGATGTCAAATTCCCCTAAATTAATCTATAAAATTAAAACTGTCTTTAAAAAAAGTACCCATGGATGTTCTGTGGAACTCAACAAATTCTGTCATTCAAATGGAAATATAAATAAGAATATTTGAAACATTTAAAAATCAGTTATTAAAACAATAAAGGATTGGTATAAAAAGAGAAAAGCTGATCAACAGAAGAAAATAGAGTCTAGAAACATACCCAAATAATATGGAAATGTACTATATAAGTTCCATTTCAAATTAGTAAGGAAGGGATCTATTATTTAATAATAATTTTGTGAAAACTAGGTAGTTATCTGGGGGGAAAAAAAAAAAGTGAAGCCCTAAATTCAGGAGAGATCAATGATTTAAATGTAAAAACACAGGTAACAGCAATGCTTGATTTTACTTTTAATATTCAAACTCTAATGATGTATTTTTTCCCTTTGAGAAAAAGTACAGAAAATGTATGCATAGTATGTTACAATTTGCAATACTAAAATATAGCATTGATATGCCTATGTACATATATGGTTATTTCTAGAGAGATATACAAGGATCTGGTACTGGTATGTGTCTCTTTCAAGGGAACTGAAAGATGGGTGTTGGGATAGAAGAGGAATTTACATTTTACTATTTGAACCAGGAAGATGTATTAGTTAATTAAAATAATTAAAACATATGCTAGAAAACAAAACCAAAAGCCCTATACTTGATGGTATAGTACTAGGGTGTAAAAGATTATTTGGTAACCCGAATTCTGCCAGTAGAATATACTATGGGGTCTAAAATGTATGTGAAAACAATTTAAAAAGAGAACTGACTGTGTTACTGCATCTTGTGAGATACGTCAACTAAAATGCAGTTAATCCATTAAACTCTCTCATCTTGTGAGATACATCAACTGAAGGGCAGTCTCAAGCAAAGTAATATTCAAGTCCTTAGAAAATTTTACCCTCGAGTACTGGTAAAAGCTGCTACTTTACTATAAAGCAGTTAAGGAATGATCTCCTTCTAATCATTTTTATTCTAGATATATTGCATATTTTATGGCCTGAATTTGTATATGCACCACAATTCAATAAAGAACAACTTTGATTTAAAAAGTACCTCAAGGCAATAAAAAAAATCATTTTAATTTTTGATACATATTAAAACATCTTAGTCAGTTCTTCCTGACAGCATAACACAGACAAATACACAAGACTTCAAACATGCTTTAAAATGACATTCAGCAAAGTACTTAAAATTTAATAAATAGCAATAATCACACACAAATACATTTTTCATACTCAATCATTAAACTACTAAAACAGACAGCTAAAGAATAAATAAACAGCAACTGACAATAAAAAAAATATGTCGGGTTTTACAATTCACACTACTTAGAAAGGGGGGATGATCTGAATGATTTCTCAATTTTCTTTTCTTTGAGAGTGTAGCATGATCCCCCCCAGGAATAAAATATATTGAAAAAAAATCACTCTTACAACAATGTATTTCTTAAATACAACAAATAAATATGAAACCAGCAAAGCAATTTCAAGTTGTAATAAAAATGCCCCCCGCCCCCAGCCAAAAGCTATGGAAATATATAGTCGCTGTGGTAGCAAATAATAGTATTTAAAGTGATAGTGCTTGTGCACTAAGCTCATCTGAGACCTTGATATAATTTTAGTGCAAATCCCTAGGGTCCAATACAAGCGCAACCCTGTATTAGGGAAAGACATTACCAGCTGGAACTTATCTTGTACAATTTTTGTACATGTTTTATAAAGTTCAAGATTTAATGCATAGTAGAATATCTTCATCCACTTAATTCTGTTGCTAAATACAGATGAAAAAAGAAATGACTTGGGATTTTAACATTTGGTTTGTACCATGTTAGAGTATTAAAGTCAACATTAGAAAATCTTTATAAAAGAGTTTTGTTTTTGCCAGTAATTTATCTAACTCTGCCTAAATTTCACATCGTTGTATGTTAAACATAAGAGAAAAATTTTTAGACAAAGTTTGTTTCCCTTTGACAAGTTCATATGATAATGAAATCCGATAATGGACAAATGTTAAACAAACGAAAACGCAGGTGAGTATAAGGGTGTTTTTTTTTGTACATTAACAACCTTAACATCTAGTATATTAAGTTACAAGATGTGTTGACAAAAGCATAAACGTTTCAATTAAAATAAGGTATTATTTTGTACAAACAAACCATTTAACATAGGATAGATAAAAATGACAATCAAATGAGTTTCAGCAGTCACATTTCTACAGTGAACTACAGTATCAGGATGAAAACAATCAGAAACAAACGAAAGGACATTATTGAACAATATGAATATGTAATGCATTTTTAGCTGCTAAAATAGTAAACTCTAAGTTCATAGAGTTACAAGTTGTCGAATTTAACCATGCAGGCTAACATATAATAGTAAGAAATCACCCTGCATTTTTTCTTTTTAAACTAAAACTAGTTTAACTGTAAAGTTACAAAATAATAAATGGATATTGCTCCAACTTGTATACAATCTCCCTTATGTGATTTGTACCTAACAAAGTAACAAAGCCTCATCATCACTCGTTTCGTTTTTCAGTGTTACTTCCAAGCAAGTCTCTGGTATCTGGGCAGTGTGGACAATACCACAGCGCTCACAGGGGCCATCTCGATTACTTGGCCTTACTCCAGGGTTTGTTGCACTATATGGTTGTCTAAGCCCTTGTCCTTGATCTGAGGCAAGATCAAGAAGAGGTCTGGAGCAGTCATTCACATCAAAGTCTGAAGATCCATCAGAAACTGGAATTAGCATTTCAACATCATCATCATCTTCTCTTCCACTTACCCCATTATCAAGTTGTCTCAAAGGACTCTGGTTCTGACTTACGGAACTCGATCGTCCTAATGTAAAACGTACCCAACGTAGCCCCTGAGTCATACGACTGAGTGCACTTGTAAGCTGGTGACGTGCTGGACTCACACTTGGGGGTTCCACACTTGTCACATCCCTTCCATTATCTGCATGACCACCTCGGGTACTCTGAGTTGAGGAACTTGCACACGCTCCTACTGTCGCCTCTACTGCCGTTGTGGGAGGGACTTTTTGAGGCAAAGGAGCTGCAACCCCACCAGATGCTCCTGCCGTATCTCTTCTCTCATTTTCTGTGTCTGTATCATCAGACTCCACGGAAAACAAACTTCTGTGAGTGTGATTTCTCTCAGGTTCTCTACTGGTACTCTGACTAGGGACAACCTCATCTCCATCTGCTGAGACCAAAGCCAATGACCCAGAATGACGTGATCTTGCAAAATTAAAAATACGGTTCCAAATGTTGCTTGATCTGCCTGCCATAGGAAGCCTGACTGAAGTAAATCCAAGCTGAGATCGTACCGCTAGCCTCAGATTTTCCAAAACAGAAGCCTACAAAAATAAGAAAAGGTCTTAAGATACTTAACAACAAGGTCCTAAGATAAAAAATACCCTTCTCTTAAGAATGTGTTGTGGTTAAAAATTGTTACTCATTGTTGCTTGGGTCTAAGGAGGAAAAATTAAATTCTCTTACCTAGGTGGGTTCATCCTACTACAGAATCTAATCTACTAATATAACTTGAATCATTGCTGTGTTTAAAATTTTCTTGCTATTCCATTTTATATATGCAACTTAAAAATGTATTTAGTGTCAACTGTAACAGTTGTTTCAAAATCTCACACCATAATCCAATGTGAAAAGTGTACCAAAGCTCGAAAGTAAAACTGATACTTCTGTAACTAGGGACATAGGAGAATCTCCACCATAATTGACGAAGTGACCAAAATGAGTTTGTGAAAACCAGGACTTTTATCTTTTTTTTTTTTTTAAAAAGAACACATTAGATTTAATTTACAAGGCTGAACTTTCCCAAAACATGTGAAAATTGCATTTCACAGAGTTGCTTCTTAAGGATTTGGTGAATGGATACTGAGGATTTAATTATATTGTCACAAATAAAGGAATTATATTTGTAATACAGCATAGAAGACAAGCAACAAAAGAAGTTAACTTGTTTATATCACTACTCAATGGTATCTAGACATTTAGATTCCTTCTCAATCTTTAAAGTGTTATTTTCTATAGTTTAGTATTAAGCATAAATTATATCATTATTCTCTGAAAGCTAGTTAGCTGTAATTAGTGTATATGAAAGGTTGCCCAACTGAATAAAAAATCTATTCTTTTTTCTAGATGAACAAGTTTAGTTTATTTTTAAAAACCATATAGCATTATATAAGATAGTCTTTAAGCTCCATCTAGTGGTTATAAAAAGAAGTATTCAAACTTGAAATAGCTTTCACCAATCTGGCATTTAGTATTTAAAAATTTTATTTCCAGGAAACAATCTCAAGTTGATATACTCTCCTTCAGATGATGATACTATCTCCTGCCAAAACTCACACCTCTTCCCTTTCCCCTCACAGAAGAAAGAAGGTAGAAAATAAGGAAGATGTCCTCTTATGTTCTGTATCTCTTTGTGGCTGGTATTGCATTTATTTATGCTTTCCATATAGGCCTTTCCATAGTGCCATGAACATAATTTATGATAAGTTAAGAAGCTACTATCATAGGAACATTTCATAGTCTAACTTTAGTAAGGCACAGACTGTCAATAAGAAATTTGGATATCGGCACACATGGATTTGCTATACAGATGAGTAAGATTTTTTACCAATTAAGAAGTACCTAACTACAAATTAAAAAAAAAAAAGAAAGAAAAAGTGGTTCACATTTCTAATGAACTTCTCCACAGATCTGCTCCTCAACAGTGAGCGTGCAAGTTTTAAGGCTTCATGTTGAGCACTATGCTATTATATCCAGCAGTGAACAAAAGGCTCTTCTGTTATCCTTCTCTGTTGTGCTGCTATTAGCCATCAAGATCAACAATGCCTTCAACATACTTTAATGTTGACTTTAACATTTGGTTTGTCATAGTGAGGTGAAACTCTCTACTTAGTTAAAAGTCAGTTTAATTAGGACTGGCTACATTTTATGAGGGGATCTCATGAATGTTCTAGGAATAATTTCATATACTTCTTCAGTTTATGAAGGAGAAAGCATTCCTCAAAAAGCATTTCTACTTTGAGTGAGATGGTGAATTACATCATTACTTATTTTTTCTAAAAACTGCTATAAAAATTTGATAATTTGTTACCAAAAGCTTCAAACTTGAGAGTTTAATTTCATTAAATGAATAAAATCTAACTTACCACCCAAAAACATACTTTATTTTAAAATGTTGAAGTAGAATTCTCCCACAAGGGTAAATATAACCTGAGAAACTGGGGTAGTGTGAGGCAATAAAGAATTTAACCTCACCCAAAGCCTTTGTCCTTGGCTTCTGGGTCTCCAAGCCCTTCGACTGTCTTGTCTGAAAGCAGTGTCTTTGCCTGGGGACCTTGGACCAGCCAGATAGTAAAACTGATTTAGAGTGGAAGCTCTGAACCACACCATCAGTGTGATGTAGGGTGAGCGCTTTGGGTCAATCAATCTCTGGATAAGGCTAGAAACTGGGATTGGCCACATGTGCAATTAATCTTGCCTTTGTGCTAGTGCACTAGTACAAACTCCAGACACTGAGGCCTGGGTGAGCTTTCCTGGTTGGTAACACTCCATGCATACTGTCACACATCTGTGTTGACAGAGTAATGCCCTCCTGTCTCTATGGGGAAAGGACAACTGGAAGGTCCATGTTTGGTACCCTTCTGAACTTTGTCCTGTGCATCTTTTCCCTTGGTTAATCTGTATGTTTGTATCCTCTCCCTGTAATAAACTGTAACCACAAGTAAGTTGCTTTCAGTGAGTTTTCTGAGTCTTCCTAGTAAATCACCAAACCTGAAGGGGATTTGGGGAACTCCTTGAATTTGCAATTGGTGTCAGGAATGAGGACATATTGTGTGAACTATATTCCCTCTGACTTTATGGGGTTTAGGGGTGGTGGGTGGTAGAGAATGAAGTAGATGTGTAAAATTAACCATGATCTGATTCTTATCTAAAAAAAAAAAAACTTTCCCCATAGCAGGGCTGATATAAAGAAGCCACAACTTAGGTTTTTCCTACTTTGCACACAAAATTCCAACCAGTGGAACTTCTGAATGATTTACTTAGGCAATTACATATGGAGAAATGTCTTGAAACTACAAATTCTCACCAAAGATTTCCTAAAAGACTCTAATAAGGTGATAGACTGTAATCAGAAATCCTATTTACCAAAAAGGAAATGGTATTCTATTTTGAAAATAATTATATTACTAGGTAAACAATGTTTACCAGTTTTAACTCTAATACTGGAAACAATTTTTATAAATGTTTCTGAATGAATTTGCAATTTAAATGTATAAATCCTTATGCCTAAAATGAATGCTGGCACATTTTTAAGCATGACAAGAAAATGTTTTTAATTGCTGAGAAATTTAAAGAATTCAGAAACATATAATGAATTACTATATAAACAAAATGCTATAAATTGTTAAACACTGTAAAATCAGGCTTGAAGATGTTTTTCCTCAGGTAGAAATGTTAACTTCATTTCAATTACTTTTACTTATAACTAGTTAATCTAGCACATTATATTACTAGCATATTAATTTTAGTGTTCATTCTTAAATCCTGTAGATGTTCAGGTCAGGTAAAAAATAATTTGCCAAGCTCAATACTTTTGAATTATAATGCACTAAATTATCCTAAACAGTAAAATGCTTCAGACTAGCACAACCACATCAGTGGAATGAAAAATAAACTTTTGTAGTTTGTAGTGTTAAAATGTAATGAAAACTATGACTTCAAATCTTCCATACATTTAAATCCTTGATTGCAAAAATTCTGACAGTCAAGGGTCTTTGCTTTATCATATATACAGGCACAGATTTCATTTTAAGAGGAAATGTAATAGAAACTACACATTGCAATATACCTGATTAGGTGAACAAACAGGAAAATCTTCAACTGGTGGAATTAAACCCTGAGCAATCAATTGTCCATAAGAGGGAGGAGCTTCTCTTCTTAACAATTCTGCTTCCACTCTTGACAACTGTGTTTCAAATGATCTTTGAGAGTAGATGGAAAGAAAAAAGATTAAAAGGGGGAGCTAAGAAAAAGAACAAATTTCCATTATCAGTAATTAAAACAATCTGAATCTTGGCATATTTGATCATTTTAAAGCTTAGTCATTTGACAAACATTTACTGAATATATGTGTTATCCCTACACTAGGAATACAAAGCTGAAGCAAGCAGTCTGTCTTCATGGGGCTTTAAGCTAGTAAAAGCCTGGATCACTGAGTTTTAATGAATGAAAATCCCTGTAAAAGGTAAAGGGAGAAATAATACGAGATTTTACAACTCCTAAGAACACTGTATTTACTGAATATATGTTGAAGCCACCGCGCCCAGATAGGATCTCTGACTCTTCATTGTGTTCTTTTGTTGCAATGTGGTAAAAAGTTTTCTTGCCATTTACACTTGCCCAAAGAAAAGATGCAGAGGCCAGGTGCGGTGGCTCATGCCTGTAATCCCAGTACTTTGGGAGGCCAAGGCAGGCAGATCACGAAGTCAGGAGTTCGGGACCAGCCTGGTCAACAGAGTGAAACCCCGTCTCTACTAAAAATACAAAAGATTAGGCAGGCGTGGTGGCAGGCACTTGTAATCCCAGCTACTTGGGAGGCTGAGACAGGAGAATCGCTTGAACCTGGGAGACGGAGTGCAGTGAGCTGAGATTGCACCACTGCACTCCAGCCTGGGTGACAGAGCAAGACTCTGTCTCAAAACAAACAAACAAACAAAAAAAAAGGAAAAAAAAGAAAAGATGCAGTAATGGTTATTACAATACTGTGCATCTGTGTGCCATCTATGAGCCATCTGTTATGTCAAAAGTTCTTTGTTAAATCTATTATTTGTAATTCTCCTGGGACTGAAGGTCATTGTCTCCACAGGGACATCTCTGCCATTAACTTCTCTCAGGTCCCATTTACCCCGGATCATACTGAAAACTACTCACTCTGAAGGTCACCCTTTAACAGTTAACCATTTCTTACTAAACTGAGAACTCTGAAGTGCTGTTGTCACTTAACTCTACAACAGGACAATAGTCTTGTGTTCCAATCGTACCTCCTATTAGCCCTTCATACGCATCCTGGGCTCCAGATAAACTGAACCATGTGCTTACTTTTTGAGCAATGCTGGACATTCCTACTTCTATATATTTTCCTAGGTTATTGCTTTAACACCTTTTCCCCTATCTATATTCTACTTATACATTTCAAGTGGCACCTCTCCAATTAAAGCCTTTCCACCTCTCTCCCTTATTAGATTAGGTATTTTTGACTTTATACCATTTTGTTTTACAGCTCTTTACAGCATTACACTTTTGTCATCTTACTCCATGCCCCAATTCCTTCCTCCTAACTGTAAACTGCTTGTGATATTATGCCTTATTCATTTTTCTATTTACCGGTATGCTTTGAACATAGTAGGCTATCACATATCTGGAATTTTTGAATTAGTATTTAGAAAAATACAGGTTAAAACACTAAAACTGAGAGCTGCAGCTTACAATATTCCTATAAAACGGATTAATCTGAAAACAGGAGCTGGTAAATAGATTGCTTTTTCTCATAACTCTAAATATTTAGTTTGTAATGTGTTTGGCCTTTTGAGTCCTGGGCTTTTCACACTAATTTTATACATCATCAACAATCTTTATCCATTTCTAAACTAATATAAAACAAAAATACATTGCTAATCCTCAAAGTACTCATTTCAAATATTTGGGCCTGCTTTTATTGTGGAGAGCATAACCTTATAGTTCTGTCTTGATACTGACCTTCTTTCAAACATTCTCAGAGAATAAAGCTTACAAGTACATCCCAATGCAATGACGAGTAACAGGCCACAGATGAGGCTCCCTATGACGGCAGCAGTGATGACTCTTGTAGGCACGATTACTGGGCAATTCTCTTCATCGCTGCCATCACCACAGTCATCTTGAGAATCACACACCCAACTTTCAAACACGCAACGATTGTTTTTACAATGGAAATTTCCTGGTTGGCAAAAAAAGCAGTTTTTTTCATCTGAGCCATTTGGGCAATGATTCTGGTAGTTGCAGCGATCAGAACGAGGATAACAGACACCGTTTCGGGAACACGGAAATTCTTCCTTCTGGCACATGGTACAATTGATTTCATCCCTTCCATTTGGGCAATGCCAATACCCATCACAACGCTGCTGCTCAGTATAACACCCCCAGTTACCTCCACAGGGTATTTCCCATGGCAAACAGAACCCATCTACTTGGTAAGTAGCATTAAATCCCCTCGCAGCATTCACTTTATCAGCACAAAAATGTACCCTTATCTGTCCAGAAGAAGAAACAACTGTAAGAGGTGCATGAGAATCAAAAGCTGTCAACACACGCAAAAGCTTGTGTGGATTCTCCTCTAATCCATCATATATTTTGACATAATCACCATAACCAGTTCCATCAAGTTTAAAGTCCGTAAAGCGTAAAATGACTTTACGGTGATCACCAGTGTCGATTAACCAGGTGCAATTGCTTCCAGGAGGATAAAAGTCTGGGTAATTGGGAGAATTAAAAGTACCATAAAAATATTTTAGCCACTGCCCACACGTTGGCACATCACAGTCTATCTCATCTCCTAGGTCAAGGCAGTCAATGTTCCCATCACATTTTAAAGATTCGGGGAGGCAAGTGTAAACTTTGGTAAAACGGGATAAACACTGGAACTGGTTGTAAGCACAGGGTTGAAAAGCAGTGGCAGTTGGAGGATTAGCTTCTTTGGCACAGATCTCTTCATCAGAGCTATCTCCACATTCATCCATGTTATTACACTTCCAGGCTTCTGGTATACACTTTCCATTACCACAACGAAACTGATCACAAGCACAGTTTGGTTCCTCAGATTTCCCTGTGAAGATGTGAGTAGAAAGGAGATGGAAAGAGAAGGAGAAAAATTATAATCTTTAAAAGACATAAAACAGCAAGAGCAATATTTTTATAATAAATGTTCATAAAGCCCAAGTGCTAAGAGTTTTAAAAAACAGGTTGGGTTTATATATATATATATTTTTTTAAAGTTCCAGGGTACATGTGCAGGATGTGCAGGTTTGTTACATGGGTAAACATGTGCCATGGTGGTGTGCTGCACCCATCACCTAGGTATTAAGCCCAGTATGCATTTAGCTCTTTTCCCTAATGCTCTCCCTCCCATCCCGCCCTCCCCAAAAGGCCGCAATAAATGTGGGGCCTGTGTCCATGTGTTCTCATTGTTCAGGTCCCACTTATAAGTGAAAACATGCAGTGTTTGGTTTTCTGTTCCTGCGTTAGTTTGCTGAGGATAATGGCTTCCAGTTTCATCCATCCATCCAGCTTCCTGCAAAGGACATGATCTCGTTCCTTTTTATGGCTGCATAGTATTCCATGGTGTATAGGTACCAACATTTTCTTTATTCAGTCTATTACTGATGGGCATTTGGGTTGACTCTCTGTCTTTGCTATTGTGAACAGTGCTGCAATCAACATACGTGTGTACGTGTCTTTATAAACAGAATGATTTAACAGATTGGGTTCTAATGACAAATTAGTACTGGCACACTTACTCAACAATTCAACTTGTTAAATGCTTATTGTTATTCCATGAAGATCTTTGCATTTTGATCTAAAAGAGAGGACTAATTCTGAATTATTCACATTTGTATGATCTGGTCATGCTTTTTAGACACAGTTTAAGAAAAGATGTCTTTTTTTCTGAGACTATAAACTATGAAGGTGAAATCTGTTAGGTCTTTTCTTTGGGGGTATAAAAACAATAATTACCACAAAAATACATTCTGAACTAACTTTCTGGATATGAGTAAGCACTTGAGAGATAAAAGGCTATTCTTAGAATAAATGTATTTAAGATGTTTAAAAAGAAAATTAACCTTAGTATATGAAGTTAATCATTTTGTTAGAATTATACAAAACACTTTTTGGAGAACCAGCCTTAGGGTATCTGACTTTAGCTTCTAATCCTCAATCTCAGCTGCCTCGAGGGCCTACTCCTAATTAAATGAACATTATTTAGAAGATTAGCTCCAAAGTGACAGAGCAGTTAATACCATAAAATTCAGTTCAATCTTTCTTATTTAAAAACACACCTGAAAAATATGCCAGTCTGAAACCCTTTCTAGAGACGCTGTCATCTGAATGAAACCTAATCCAGATGTGGTCTTGTGAGGAGATATACGGAGGTGGAATTGTGGAACCACAAGCTCTGTAACTTTCAATATTCTTGTATGTTTCTATTGTCAACCAGTCCAAACTGCACCTTCTGGATCCTTGAATATCAAAATCCTGAAAACTGGGGGAAAAAAAAAATCAGAAATGTCTATTAAAAAGGCAATTTTGGAAAAAAAATCATATTACAATGTAACTGAGGATATTATTATAAGCTTCCATATATTGACCGATTCTCCTGGGTCTTCCAGGCATACAACCATATCATTAGCAAATAATAATACTAATTCTATGTTCCTCATATATGTATTTCTTCTCCAGATTGTAGAAAAATACTTCTTCACAAGTAATGCCAGTTTCAAAATAATGTTAAAAAAACAGGTGACAGGTGGCACCTTTTCTTTTTCTTCTCTGTGTGTATGGTTGGGAAAGACCACTTCTAACTCAGAACATCCTGAATTGTTCTGTGTTCCAACCAGAATCACCTCTCCCCAATCTGATGAACTGAAGTAAACACAGAGAAACTCAGCCTTCTCTTAGATTAATACTTGCTTAATAAAAAGTTTGCAGATGACATTCTTAGGAGAGTAATTAGCACAAATCTGAGCAAGGTAAAAGACTGAAAAAGGAACACATGAAAAATGTTTTTGGTGAAAAGTCCCTGAGTTTGGGAATACTTTTTTTACATAAATCACTTTATAGCCAAATACTATTTTGTAGTTAATAAAATGTGGGCATAAGTATAGGTCAAAAGCATCAAATAAATAAAAGCACATAGAAAATTAGTCATTGCTTATGAAAAAAAGAGAAACCAAAATATAGTTTTACAGTATCTGAACATGTCTCACCAAAAAGTAAAGATCTGACTTTATCTTCTTGCCTTTGCCTTATAACTAAGTGATAGTAAAGTTAATTACCCAAGGATTATTATATCAGAATGTTTCTTCTTCAAATATTCTGAATAACTAACAAAAGCTGATAGACAATTTGATTGTTTCCAGGTTTGCACTATTATGAACTATGCTTTAAAAACTACTGACCAGGCACGGTGGCTCACACCTGTAAACCTAGAACTTTGGGAGGCTGAGGTGGGCGGATCACGAAGTCAGGAGTTTGAGACCAGCCTGGCCATGGTGAAACCCCATGTCTACTAAAAATACAAAAATTAGCCAGGCATGGTGGTGTGTGCCTGTAGTGCTGGCTACTCAGGAGGCTGATGCAGGAGAATCTCTTGAACCAGGGAGGCAGAGGTTGCAGTGAGCTGAGATCGCGCCACTGCACGCCAGCCTGGGCGACAGAGCGAGACTCTGTCTCAAAACAAAACAAAACCTCCTTATACATGTACATATCTCTCTTACACACAAGAACAATAAATTCTCTAGGACAAACTGTTCTAGAACTAGTATTGCTAGGTCAGAAGAATAATTCCTCTTTAAATCTGACAGATCCTGGCAAAACATGTTTATATGAACTTACAATTCTACCAAGTCTGTACCGTATATCCCATACATTTAGCAAAATGACATATTCTATTTTTTAAAATGTTTTGCCAGTTAGGTAGACAAAAGAGATTTATCACTTCTATTTTGCATGTCTTTATTTACTGAGATTGAAATGCCTTTCCAATTTACTGGTTATTTCTATTTCTTTTACTCCAAATTGCCTTGTTTTTCAAATTACCTCCTTTATTCATTAATATTTCTTATTTAAGAACTCTACATATTATAAACATGAGTTACTTGGGGGCATGTCTATTATGTAAGACATGTCATATCCACCTACATCCACATTCTTTCTCTCCAGCAGTCAATGTGGTCAGTCTTTTTCATTTTAGTCTCACTGAGGGGTGGTATCTTTTATTGTGGTTTTATGCACACTTCCCTGAAGACAAATTTGCTGAACATCTTTTCATGTGATTGTTGGCCATTTTTATATCTTCTGTGTAAGAATCTGTTCATGTCTTTTGCCCATTAAAACAAAAAAGTTATAAAAATCCCTTTTATATTCTTGGCCAGGCATGGTAGCTCATGCCTGTAATCCCAGCACTGTGGGAGGCTGAGGTGGGCAGATCACTTGAGGTCAGGAGTTCGAGACCAGCCTGGCCAAACAACATGATGAAACTCCTTCTCTACTGAAAATACAAAAATTAGCTGAGTGTGGTGGTGCAGGCTTGTAATCCCAGCTACTCGGGAGACTGAGGCAGGAGAATTGCTTGAACCTGGGAGGTGGAGGTTGTAGTGAGCTCAGATCACACCACTGCACCCCAGCCTGGGTGACAGAACAAAACTCTGTCTCAAAAAAAAAAAAAGGATTCAAGTCCTTTGTTAGATATGTGTATTGCTAATATTTTCTTCCAGTCTATGGTTTTGTCTTTTCATTTTCTTAATGGAACCTTTTAATGAGCAGACATTTAAAATTTTAGTCTTGATGAAGTCTAATTTATTATTTTTGCTTTATGTTTAGTGCGTTTAGTGTCCTAAGATATCTTGGTGTTTCCAAATATCTCAACGATGTTCAACTACTTTTTAAGTATTTCAGAGTTTTAGTTTTTACATTTATAGCTGAGATTTATATAAATTAATTTTTGTGTGTTTTCAAGTAGAAAATGAGATTTTTTTTTTCTTACATTTATCTAGAACATAGAAGATACTAATTTTTGTTCTATCACACAGTTAAATTAGTCTGATGACCATGAACTTGAGGAGGTTGGGTTTTTTTATACTTTGTTTAAAGCGAGTTTGTTTCTGCTCTGCCCTTAGTCTCAGGGAGAATTCTTAGTTTAAGGACACTGTCTTTACTTGTAAAGTATGACACACAGAGTTTCATTAAAAATCTCAAGGCATTTATTTATGAAGCCCTATACTGGGTCTCGCCTGTGATGGACAGGATTCAAACTCCACATGCTGCCTCTGCTGTGGCGCACAGCAGCTGAAATCATATAGTCTTTTCAGCCTTCCCGCTGTTACTTTCCAGCGGGTTCCTCGGAGTCTTCTTTATGCACACACAATTCATGGGTCAGCTAAGGATCTGAGAATAATTTAAATGCAGTTACTTTCCAGTTTGTGGTTCTCTCCTTTCCAGGAGTTACCTTATTAATTAATTTCCAGTTACTGTTGCAGCCTCAACTGCATCCTGACACCTCAAGCTAACAAGACCATGGTGATGTGCTTGAGTTCCAGTCACTCCACGTTGCACGGACTGGCAAGAATCTTCAGAGAACTGGTAGGAAACAAGCCTATCTCACGAAGAGTGGTTCCTTCTTTCAGGGGTGGAATACTCTCCAGTTTTTGCCAGTTTCTTATTACTCTCCAGATCCTTCAAATAGTTGGTTTTAAAATATTTTATCCAAACTTTATAGCTCTTGTTTATGGGAGGCCTAGTCCCATTCAAACTAGGGAATCCCTTAATAAACTTTTAGTCCACTAAACATTTAAGATTCATGAAGGCAAAGGCTGGGAGAGGTGGCTCATGCCTGTAATCCCAGCACTCTGGGAGGCCGAGGTGGGTGGATCACCTGAGGTCAGAAGTTTGAGACCAACCTGGCCAACATGGTGAAACCCCATCTCTACTAAAATTCAAAAATTAATTGAGCGTGGTTTTTAATTTTAGTCTTGATGAAGTCTAATTTTTTATTTTTGCTTTATGTTTAGTGCATTTAGTGTCCTCTCTAAGATACCTTGGTGTTTCCAAAGATCCCAAAGATGTTCAACTATTTTTTAAGTATTTCAGAGTTTTAGTTTTTACACACCTGTAATCCCAGCTACTCAGGAGGCTGAGGCAGGAGAATTGCTTGAACCCGAGAGGCAGAGGTTGCAGTGAGCCGAGATGGCACCACTGCACTCCAGCCTGGGTGACAAAGTGAGACACTATCTCTCAAAAAAAAAAAAAAAAAAAAGATTCATGAAAGCAGAAACATTGTCTAGAATAAGAAATAATAAGTATCTGTTCATGTATACCCTATTTGATTTAGTTTGCTAATTCATTTAGGATTTTTAAATGAATAAGTAAAATTACTTTTTGGTTTTTTAAATGCTTCATAATAATTTCTGTAATAAAAGCACTGTTGATGTATTTGTGCTGTGTGCCTATTTAGAATATATTGAGTCAGGGAGTTTCAATTTCTTAATGTTTTTTGGTTTAATCAGTGTTTCTTAAACTTTTGATCATTTAAATTTTCTTGGAAAATTGATTTTATGTTGATAGTAAATTTTATTACTACAAAGCTCTGTACACAGTACTTTCATACAATTTAAAGACATTTTTTCCTATCTGTGATCTTTAAGTTTGCTTTAAACTGCTTAAAACAAACATATAATTAGCAAATAAAAGTTTTCTCTTCCTTGCCATTTTTTTTATATCACCTATTTCTATCTATTGCACTGTTGCATTGACTAAGAATTCTACTATAACCAGTAAAAGCACACATTTTTGTCTTGGTCCTTGGTGCTAAAATTAACTTTGACATTAAATTTGCTTTTTTAAATTTTTTAACAGACATCCTTTACCAGGTTAAGGAAATTCCTTTTCTATTCATTTGGTAAAACTTGCCTATAAAACTAGTTCTGGAGTCTTAATTTGAATGCTGATTCAACTTCTTCAATGGCTACTGATTCATCAGCTTTCTAATTCTTCTTGAATCAATTTTAGTAATATAAATTTTCTTTAAAAAATCCAATTAATCTACTTGTATAAAAGTATTAACATAAAACTGCTTATAATATTCTTATGACATTAAAAATGTTATGCTTATAGACACTTTTGCTCTTTTTATCTTCTTTTTCTTCAGTTTTGCTTTGAGTTTTATCTATTTTCCTGAGTTTTTCAGAAAGTCAGCTTTTTGTTTTATTGAATTTTATTATTTTCCTGGCCTTTACTTCTACTTTAAAATTTACCCTGTAATTCTTTTCCTTTCCTCAGTTAAATGCTGAGCTTATTTATTTTCTAAATTTTAAATCAATGCATTAAAGTAGTAAACTTTCCTAAGTATTCTTTCAATGTATTCTAACAGCTTTAATATGTATTACTTTCACTATGGTTATTTTAAAACCATTTAGTCCCATTGTGATTTCCTCTTTAATTCAGGAGTTATTTAAGAATATATTTCTAAACATACAGGTTTTATTTTTTTTCCTTTATTTTAATTGCACTGTGGTAACAAAACACAATCTGAATGATGTAGTCTTTGAAATGTATTGAGTTCCTTTGTGATTTAAAACATAATCAATTTTTATAAATGTTTCACAGGCTTTTGAAAAGAATGTGTATTTTCTGTTGAAATAAGTATTAAAGGTGTGTTAAAAATCTCCCATTGGAATTGTGGATTGGTCAAATTTGCTGGGCAATTCTCCACATTTTGCTTTGCATGTATTTCAGGCTATGTAGTTAGGTACATGAAATTTACTGCTGTTTTTTTTTTCCTGGTAGATCACCCTAATTGTTACTAGTATTTTATGCCTTAAGCTCAATTACAGTGGATGTTAATCTTCCTAGACTAGCTTTCTCTTGATGAGTAGCTCCAAAGCCAACCTCTTCTATCTCCTTGTTTTGTTTTTGTTTATTTTTGAGACAAGGTCTCACTCTTCCACCCAGGCTGCAGTGCAGTGGTACATTCACGGCTCACTGCAGCCTCAACCTCCTGTGCTCAGGTGATCCTCCCACCTCAGCCTCCTGAGTAGCTGGGACCACAGGCAATGAGCCATCATGCCCAGCTAGTTTTTTGTATTTTTGGTAGAGACAGGGTTTCAACCACGTTGTCCAGGCTGGTCTCAAATTCCTGAGCCTACCTTGGCCTCCCAAAGTGCTAGTATTACAGGCACGAGCCATAGCGTCTACCCCATCTCCTCGTTTTTAGACATTCTCTATTAGTTTTAAGTGTGTTACAAACTTTCTACTTGGGAGAGAGTTCTCATTTTCCTCTTTTCCTCCTTTTTTTTTTTTTGAGACAGGGTTTCACTCTGTTACCCAGACTGGAGTGCAGTGGCACGATCTTGGCTCTGTAACCTCCACCTCCCGGGTTCAAGCAATTCTCATACCTCAGCCTCCTGAGTAGCTAGAATTACAGGTGTCTGCCACCATGCCCAGCTAATTTTTGTATTTTTAGTAGAGATGAGGTTTCATTATGTTGGCCAGGCTGGTCTCAAAGTGATCGTGACCTCAAGTGATCCGCCCTCCTCAGCCTCCCAAAGTGCTGGGATTACAGGAGTGAGCCATCACATCTAGCCTTTTTTTGAATATATTTTTAAAGTTGCTTTTCCTCTATTAACTGCTCAATATTACTTCTATTTTTAATCAGTGGCTACCTTTTGATACTTTAATTGAAATGCTAAAACACACTTTTTTTCTAATAAAGGCCAAGTAAGAGTATTCAATGTTTCTCCTGTCCCCTCAAAAATCACAAATTGGTTGGAAACAATTTACACCTTTATTTTCACTAACCTTTTATTAAAATTTAGCATTTCCTTCACTTATAAACAACAAACCATGACAGTATTTATACCACCGGCCACTCCACCACTATTCAAAATTAGAGATATTTTTATGTTACATTTCAGTTTTTACAGGTATCTAAAAATACTATTTACACTTACATTTTTTTCTTTGAAATTAACCATCACTTGATTTTGTTAATGTGTTAATAAATAAGCATATATTACTACATTACAAATATTACAAAATATCTGATAGCTGTACTTTAATATAATTGGTTCCCTTTGTAATGCTATGTATTTTTTTAAATGAATTTAAACATATTAATCTGGGAAAGAATACATAGGTTTTACCAGACTATTAGGTGTTCATGGCATAAAGAAAGTTGAGAAATAATCCCTGACAGAATACATCTTAAAACGTTTGGAGTAAATCTGAGTTCCAACTTAATTTTGCTTGGCTGTTTTTCTCACCATTCAATTTTTTCACACATTCTGGAATTTCGGTTTAGAGGTTTATTTTATGGAAGTTTTTTGGTTTTCTCTCTCTTTTTTAACCCTCTCTTCCTTTATGTTCCCCTGCTTGGGTCTATATTCCAGAGTAAGTCTTAAATGATGGTTCAGAGTATTAAAGATCCTGTCATGGAGTCAGCAGGTGACATAGTTATTCATGTTTGTTAGGTTATGCCCTTTCAGCTCTCTAAGCTCTCAGCCCCATATAAATTCAGGCTGTGGTTGGTGGAAGATTTTTCAGCCTCCTGTCTTGAGCAAAATTGCCTGTCCCTAGTCCTTGGCTTCAAGCAGGGTGCTGGTATTCAATCCCCTCTTCCCCATGGATAAGGTGGCCTTTGTTGATTGTAGTGGGTTCCAAGGGAGAGGAATGAAGTAAAAATGCCTTTATTTCACCATCTTAAGCAAGTTTTATACAGCTAGCTCTCAGTATTGTTTGTTTTTACTCCATAACTTTAGTTTCCCTCTTCTATCCAGATCTAAAAAGTCATATTTCCAATTCCATTTTACTAAGAATTTAAAATTTTTATGTTAAATTCAGGAATGAAGGCTGATTTTCTTTTTTACCAAGATGCTTTAAAGCATCTAGGTACACTAGATAATCACATACTTTTTCTTTTGACTTGTTAACTTGGTAAGTTAATTTAATATTTCCTAATACTGACTCATTTGTATGTCTAAAAGAGCTACATTTAATTATGCATATGATTCTTTTGAATCATTTAAGATTATGCATTGATAATCATATGTAAAACTTGTCTTTGTGTATATGCATGTGTGTCATCTTTTTAAAGTTATGGTATTAACATGATAATGACTTCAGTAAAGAATTTGAACAATTACTAAAATCACCTTCTGGTCTGTATACATCCAAATTCACTGCTCCCTTCCAGAATTGAGGAAATTCTCCTTTAGCTGTAGAGCTCACTTCAATTTTATTCTGCATTTTAGTACTGTGCTTGGTTTTCAGTGTATTTTACTTCACGAAATCTCAAGGATCCAATACATTATCAAAACCAGATGGCAGTATTTCAATGTAATCTCTTCTGTGCTGGTAAGATTTTCAAGTTTTACAAAACTGAACTATAAGCTGTAAGTTTAATTTTTAGGTTAAAAGGTGAAGGTCTCTATAAATTCTAGTTTTATGCTAACAAACTCCCAATATGTGGTAAAAATGTTATTTTGCAAACACACAGTCATACAACAAGTAACAGAAAATAGGTATATTTACATTTCAACACTGACACTGTTACAGAAAGATAACCTTAATGGTGCATTCTACCACTCAATCAGGCAAGAGAAAAACACTGCCTGGAGGAGGAGAATAACAGCTTTTGTATGTGCCAAGCTCCAGGGTTCCAGAAGAGGTAATGTAGGGTACAGGAAAATAAAAGGAAAACAAACTATTGCCCTTGTTTATGGCTTCCACCAAAAAAAGGAGATAGATGACAGTTATGCTTCTCAGGAGAGACTGGTTTCCTCATTAGTTAATATATACAAAAAAGGAAGACGAAAAAAGATGAGAAAGTAGGCTAAATGTATAAGTCTTATTTTAAAAATGTAAAATGAAGGAATTTGAGTTTATGATCTCCAAAGTCTCTTCTAAATCTAAAATTCTATGCCTCCTACCCATACAATGTTACACACGAAAGCACGTTGAAGGTGCCTTTGTGCTACACTGTCTCTGTGATGGAAATGACATTCTTATTTGTGTTTTGTTCCAACTGCAGTTCTTCATTCAGGCACACTATTTTTTCCCCCGCCGTAGGTAACATTTTTTTCCTAATGGCCTTGATAGAATTTTCCTAAGCAAGCAATATCTAGTTCTACTAAATATATTCTTTACAATCTTATTCCCATACTGTTTTTTTCTGCAAGTAATTTGCTAAATGTTTTAAAATTTAATCTTAACCTTCCTTATTTATATGTCACATTTATTCTTAGAATCTTAAACTTATGGTTATTTCCCTTAAGAAAGCCTTTCATTTGTATTCTTAACAAATGCTCTTTTGTTTCGAAGTTACAATAAGATTTTTCTAGATATAGTAACTCTCCATTATCAGCTTGTTTCAAGTTTTATACATACATACACATATACAGACATGCATGACAATCGTGTTTTAACTTATTTAGGTAGAAGGCTCTACTAATGAGACAAAGGTTAAGGGCTCGATATCCAAGTGAATTATTGAGTTTTGTTTATTTGTTTGTTCCACTGCCAAAGATTAGTCTTGACCCTAATAGGCTATTTTGCAAATGTGTATCTTTTGTTAAAAAGCAGCTTAGAAGAATATAGATGATTCAATGCAAATACATTACCACCCTTAGAAAATAGTCAAAACACATACCAGATGGGCTGTTATTCTTACTCTTAAGATGACACCATTAGCTGTTCTTTATCACATCTCCTGAAAAGACTTCTTTTTATATTACTGCATGTTAAGTAATAATAAATGAAAATGGAATTTATGTTTTATAATAAATTATGTAGTAATACAGAAAGGTAGAATTACCTTATAGTAATGATTTCGCCTGGGTTTGCCCTTATGAACCAGCTACAGTTGATTTTTGCCGGATATTCAGAAGGCCAGCCTGGGCTTGTGATTATGCCACTTGGTGCTCGAATTTGCTCTGGAGTCTCTCCACAAGCTGGAAGACAGCCAAAGCAATCTTTGCTTATTATTATACATTCAAAATAGTACTAGGTAAGTCAGTGTTTATTTTTTAAAAACCAAAAAACTTTACACATCAAATAATATCCAATAAGATATGGTAGTATCAACTTTAAATAAAGTTATTATTCTAATGAGATATTTCAATTTCCTCCCTTTTAGATAAAGTTTCTTATTCCAATTAAATAGAGTAGCCCCACTTGTCGGACATTTTGCTTTCCATTGTTCAGTTACTTGGAGTCAACAGTGGTCTGAAAATATTAAATGGAAAATTCCAGAAATAAACAACTCTTAAGTTTTAAATTGTGTGCTGTTCTGAGTAGTGATGACATCTCTTGCTGTGCCGCTCTGTCCCTCCTGGGACATGAATCTCCCCTTTGTCCAGTGTATCCACGCTGTGTATGCTACCCACCCATTAGTTACTTAGTAGCCATCTCAGTTATGAGATCAACTGTCACAGTATTGAAGTGCTTGTGTTCGCATCACCCTTATTTTGCCATTATGAATGGTCTCAAAGCACAAAAGCAGTGATGCTGGTAATTCAGATATGTCAAAGAGAGGCTGTAAAGTGCTTCCATTAAGTGAAAAGGTGAAAGTTCTCAACAACAGAAAAAAAATCATATGCTGAGGTGTCTGAGCTCTAAAGAAAGAATGAATCTTATATCCATGAAATTACAAAGAAGGAAAAAGAAATTCACGCTAGTTTTGCTGTGATACCTCAAACTGCAAAAGTTAATGGCCACAGTACCTAAGTGCTTAGTTAAGATGGAAAAGGCATTATATTGGACAGCAATCAGGTCTGGTACTCTGCAGTTTCAGGTATTCACTGGGGATCTTGAAGGTATCCCCCACAGATAAGGAGGGACTACCGTACATGTTTTGGGCAGGCAAGGAAATTTCCACCTGGATCACTGAATGAGTTCAAGATTACTGGCTTTGGCCATGGAGATTGATCTATCCACCTACCCATCTTTTTTCAAAACTCATCTTTCAAGTTTATTTTCTTTGTCATAAACTACCTTTCCAATATTTGCTCACCTACTTTGTTTACATCCTTAGGAGCATAATGCTGCTTTTAGGGTACTCTAAATAAGCCTAACAATAAGATGCTGGATTGTAATTTTTGTTAAGAAGTTAGTGGACGTTTGAATAAAGATAGTAAAACATTCAAAATTACTGCAAAGCAGTTCTTCAATTTATTCCATTAATACTTCCAAGCTATTTATTACAGTGTTATTAATGATTCCTACATTATTTAAAAGTAAAATCTTGAAATAGTGCTTAAAATATCATCATGTGATTAGATAGCTGCATATCACAGAGGAAAATCTTCATGCATATAGAATAAATTAAAACTAATACCAATACTTTCCTGGATTATTCTTGCATTATCTGGAACTCTCGTTGTAAATAGTTAACATTGTCCAGAATTCAGTTGATAATGTGACAATTTATTCTCTCTCAATTAAATACGTGATGTTTAAGCCTTTAGTAGAATTTAAAATCCTAGAACCTCTTATTTAATACAACTTCAACAAATTAGATTACTTGATTTTAAAGTAACAGCAGATTAGAAGCAGAAAATTAGAAGTGGGGAGAGTAGCTGCCAGGGATACATAAACAGTTATCAGAAGTGATGAGTAAGTTTTCAGAAACACAATAAATAGTACATACTAAACTTAAAAACCATGAGCTCATAATTTACACATTATTGCCTGTCTCTCAAAAGGTAAGACTGTTGTATATTGTCATAATAAATTAATATTCATACTGATCTAAGAGTTGTTAAGTGAATAATGAATCGGTATAGGCAAAATGACTGGTATAATACACGGCCTGCACTCCAGTGCTTTTTAAGTTCAGCTGTAGTTTAAAAATCAGGTAACCCAAGAGATGGCCAAATATCACTATTACAATTGTAACTTGGAAAAATAACTATTTTTTTTTTTTAGATGGAGTCTTGCTCTGTCTCCAGGCTGGATGGGGTACAGTGGTGCAAACTCGGCTCACTACAACCTCCGCTTCCCGGGTTCAAACAATTCTCCTGCCTCAGCCTCCCGAGTAGCTGGGACTACAGGCGCGAGCCACTACACCCAGCTAATTTTTGTATTTTCAGTAGAGAAGAGGTTTCACCAGGTTGGCCAGGATGGTCTTGATCTCTTGACCTCATGATCTGCCTGCCTCGGCCTCCCAAAGTGCTGGGATTACAGGCGTGAGCCACCATGCCCAGCATTTTTTTTTTTTTAAAGAGATGAGATCTCACTATGTTGCCCAGGCTGGAGTGCAGTAGCTATTCACAGGCATTAGCACAGAACACTACAGCCTTGAATTCTTGGGCTCAGGTGATCCTCTTGCCTTAGCTTCCTGAGTAGCTGGGACAACAAAGAGCATGTCACCATGCACGGCAATTTTTTTTTTTTCCCGTAACAAAGCTTATACTCTGTTCAATTTAGGTTAAGAATGCTAGGAAGTATACTATGTAATTTAAAGAATTTTATCCATAATGATCAAAATGAAACAAGCTATGTTACTTAAAGTCAATCCTTATTTCTATAGAATAACCTATTCCCTGAAGAAAACATGCCATCAGAGCCTTAAAAGTATATTCTACTGCAGAAAAAAAGTTCGTATCTAAAAATGGATCTGCCCTGGAATCAGGGTTCACTGCCAAAGGGAATCTGTTTTGAATCGCTTTCAGAACAGATTGATAGCATACAGCACACAGATACATCAAGGGCTTAGCATTCATCTCATTGCCAAGGCATAGTCAAAGCTTCCCTTTTTTTTTGCTGCTGTTTCATTAGTAAATCTCCCTGACAAAAAATTTTTAATTTTAATAAATGATGTTTTAGAAAAAGACTAAATGTATTCAAATGTAATTCTTTTTTAAGAGTTTATTAATAATAAACTGCCAGTTTGCTTCCACTTTGCTCTGAGTTATTATTACAATAATTTAATAAAAGGATAGCTAAGTTATTTATAACACCTTCTTTTCTCCTGGACACGGTGAAACCCTGTCTCTACTAAAAATACAAAAATTAGCTGGGTGTGGTGGTGCGCCTGTAGTCCCAGCTACTCAGGAGGCTGAGGAAGGAGAATCGCTTGAACCTGAGTGATATTTTTTTAGATGGAGTCTCGCTCTGTCTCCAGACTGGATGGAGTACAGTCTGGAGTACTGAGGGGCGGAGGCTGCGGTAAGCTGAGATAGCGCCACTGCACTCCAGCCTGGTGACAGAGCGAGACTTTTCATTATCTCCTACCATAGCATTCTGGAGTCGAAGTAAGCTAAAGGAAATCTCAAGTTCATGAAAATATAAACAAACATATAAATAAACAGCCAAAAACAATCATTACCCTTTCCCCAGAATATGGAAAATTGTTCATTTGTATTAATTCATTGAATTAATGTAAGATTCACCTACATTAAAGAGAATACAATTTTGAGTTAAATTACATTCAACTCAGAATTATAACGCTGTACTAGCATATTAAGTACTCAACTATTTATTAAATGGTTTAACAGCAGTGACATACAGCCAAAAACAAGGTGGGAGTAATCTATGACAAAGAACATTCCTAACCTTTGACTAAATCGATATTCTAATTATAGGGAAAAACTAGAAAGAATTTTATTAGGTTTTGTTTTAGGAAAAAAATTTCAAGTACATGAGAAACCCATAGGTGGTGCTCTTATACCAAAAACCGAAGATTCTAGTATGGTACTCAAAAATACATTTTGTGAATATTTTATTTTCATACAACTGCCCAAGGATAAGACATACCACCCCTAAATAAGATTGGTTATTATACGATTCAATATTTATATTTCTAATTCAATATGTACTTTTATAACATTATTTTAAAATATTAATGATTCTTCCTAATCAAAAACAAAACCATAGTATCCTAAAGTTTCTTACTGAATTAATTATAAATATATATATTGATTTAGTTATGCATATTTCCAACATGACTGAATTTGGAATTTGGCTCCAGATCTAGCCAGTGGCTTTTTATCAACCTATTTTCGCATGTACAATACACTGAGTATGTAGACAAATATGCTCTAGCACAGCCATAATGTATTCCTTTCTATACCTAATAAAGAACACATTTCAAAAGTCAAAGGAAACTATTAAAGCAATTTTTAACTCCTTTTTGGGTTAAGAGTTTGCCTTTGTATACTGGCAGATTTGGAATGAGAAGACCTAGACGCTGTCTGTCTATCTGCCAATGTCTGTTCTATCACAATGTAAACTACTAAATTTTGGGGGGTGCTATTAATAATTTCCTCAGGTGTTGAAATAAGGAGTTGCTATTTGAATACCTCTAAGGTCTATTTCAGCCCTCAATCATGCATCTCTTCCCACTATATTTCTGATAGCTCACTGGGATACAATGATAAATTTTTCATTTTCTTCCTTTGCATTTTCTCTCTGACCCACTGAAATAGACTTTCAATTCTGACCTTATCTCCACAGAAACCACGCTAGCAGGCAAAGGTCATCAGTGACCTCACTGCTAAATGCAATGGATACTCATTCCCAAGGTACTTGATCTTTCTGGAGCACTTGACACTGACTACCCAGACTTGGAACTGTACTACCCAGACTTTGTGGACATCACCTCCTCTGATTCTCCTTCTAACTCTATTCTGTGTTAATTTTCTAGCTCTAGATCCTCTGTCCTTGGCCAGTCAGACAGCCAGCCCCTGGAATTCATGGTTAATTCCAAAGCCCTCTGCTCTTCTCACTCTCAATAGAAGATTTCATTCGCTTTTACAATTTCAACTATGGTCAAGAGTTTAAAATTTTTAACCCAGAGGCTTTGAACAGTCAAATGCCCACTGGACATTCTAACCTCAAATTCAACATGATCAGACCTGTGTGTTTCCCAAATTCGTCTTCAGAATATCCTATATTCTGAATCTATGTCGTCTTATGCAGCATTTGATTGATGGAATAGGTACTTAAGGAA